TGCTGCACGCTGATTCGATCGGCCGCTGGGGCCGTGCCGAGAACTTTGCCCCAAACCCGGTCGTCATGTTCGGATGTCTGGACTACATCACAGACGCCCGAGGTGATCTGGTCCTCCCAGGACGGATCTCAGATCGGCTCGAAGATCCCTCCGGCGCTGCGGTCCCGGAACTAGCTTCCGACCTGACCCTCGGATCCGGCCTCTCACTTGAACCGATCCCGGAGATGGAGCCGGGTGGTCGCCAAGTCCGACCCGACCCCTGCCTCCTCAGACGTCGGCCTTGAGCCAAGCTCGTCTTCGGACCCGGCAGCGACGACCTCCAACAGTACTTCTTTTCCCATCAACCAGGGTCAGCCCACATGATTCTGTCATCATCCATAACACTTGATGCTCTGTACCAGGAGCATTTCACTGCAACAAAAGAGCGATCACTCTTCCTGATATCACTACTTCTGCACCCTTAGCTTCCCCTTCAACAGGTTCACCTCTTGAGACAGCATCCCTCTCCTGGCACAAATCATATACCATTCTAGTGTATAGAGAGAGGTCATCATTTGATAAAACATGAAACAGTTTTAGCATTAGTCACCATTCGTTAGATCTCGGCCTTCTCTACTCTCTTCAGAATGTTGTGGCCATTTCTGTTGCACCAGCTCCAACCAAGCGTCCTTCACATAACAGCAGCCCCAAAAGCAGTGTATAAAAAATCCAGTATATCCACAGTGCTTATTTCAGCTGGTGTAGATTATAACCGTTCATAACAATCAATCATACATGCATAACCCCTTAAAATTGTTATGCTAAATACAAATGAATTTCCATACAGAAGTAGGGCGACCACATAGCAAATATAACTATTTTTTTGGTGAAATTTCGCCAGTCTTTAGTGCTGAAGTTACGGTGCAACCTTGACGTCCAGAGTGACCCTGGCATCTGCAAGCTCAAGCTCCACTGAAGTGGATGAAAACAAATCTTGCATAGAATGTGATATAATCATAAGTATTTTACATGGAATCAAGAAATCAAATAAAAACACACTTAGGCTACAACGGAATTCAGAATACAACTTCATTTTTAAAGGACATTTTTTCCAAATACAATGATAAAACATGAACTCTGTACTCTTATATGGTGGGTGACTTTGGTCGATGTCTCCAGTAGTATTCATCCTTCAAACAGCTCTCCCAACATCTCCTCCAAAACTTTAGGGCTACTGCTTCCGCCACTAACGTGTTTTTGTAGCTCTGGATGTTCCTTCAGGTAGTCATTATAAGCTGAAATGACTCGCTTGATGATAGTTTCCCGCAGTAAGGATCGGAGACGGGGTTCTGGCACCTTCCAGAATTTCTGAGCCTGGTACGTATTATCAAACGCTGACTGGAATTTAGCCAGCGAAGTGGTGTGGATCCAACGACGGAGTGGTCCGTGAAAATTCGATTTAGGTATAAAGGACAACACATTTCTCCAAGAAACATCGAGATAACTATCCATGTACTTCTCACATTCAGGAGTAAGTTTAAGTTCTGTTTGGTGTCCACACAACTGCTCAAGATTTAAAGATACCGATGTCTTGGACACCATCTGCACAATGAAATATGAATTGTTGAGCAGGAACAAATACCTGAGGCTTGGATCCGAGCACAGCTCTGATTTTCGCACAAGCAAATTGTTCAGATAATCAATTGTGTAATGTATCAGGTCTTCAAGCTTTCCGGTGTTGTGGCTCTGTCCAGAGTTCTTCAGTGTCGAAGCATGTGCTTTACTCATCAAAACTATGTAATCCACCATCAACCGGGTGTTCTTGTGAACCTTACCTCCTCCTTCCAGAATCTCGGTGGCACACAAGTTGTCATCCTTCATGAGTGTCCGCCTCACCTGCACCATCGTGTCACATATGGACTCGATTAACTTGTTCCCTTGTCTGTCCATTGAGCTGTTTATATCGTTCAAAATGCTTTGGGCACCTGAACTGATCGTGTGCGGCAAGATGCCATACGATGCACTGCACACACAGATATACATTTGTAGCATGGCCTGTAGCTTCTCCTCCCCGTTAACCTGGACCATGGCATCGACAAAGACGAGCATTGCTGAGACACTCGCTGTGACAAATTGTGCGGCCGCTGGCGTGTCACTGATGGTGGTGACACTGGCCACAATTACTGTGAGAGCTCGGATCCACCTCCTGACCAATTCTTTTAGTGAATACACAGATGCCTCTTCGAGAAGTAGCTTCAGCAATACATCGAGAACCCAGTCGACGTCGAGCTCGATGAACCACTTCCTCAGCGCACGGTCCTGGCCAAATGTATGCGTGAGAGATACGGTGTGGAATGCTTGTACCATGCGTTGGGTGTAACCGTCACTGGCCATTCTCTGAGCAATCTTCCGGAGCTCGCTGGTACCCAAGTCTGCTGTGCCGATGGACGCTGAGTTGGAGGAGTAGCTGGAGTTGGTGGACCTCGAGGCAGCAGAGTCGGTGGATCCACTCTGACGGGATCTGATGCGCCAGTCGGAGCAGACGACGCTGACCCTCCGGATTGAGTCACGGTAGGAGTCGGACGGCGGCAAGGCATCCGTGAAGCCGGTGGTGCTCTCCTCCGGCACGGAAGCAAGCTTCCCCTCCGTGCTGCTACCTTGTAATAGGACTTTGAGACTCGTATACTCGTGGTCCGCCATGCTCCTACTTTGTGAAGCTCGAAGAGATTGGCAGGGGAGAAAACTATGAGAAGTACCGGCTCGGAATCAACACTAATTGTCGATGATGCATCGATAGTTTCGATGAGAGCTCCCATTTATCTATAAAAACACCTCTTGCCGGATCCGCCTGACAGCGACTGACAACTGACAAGTGCCGGACCCGGGTGCGTGAGATGATTACATTTATCTATTTGGAATTACTACTTCACTTCAAAAGTGAAGAAATAATTCCAAATACAACGACGAAACATAGCTCCGGTCTCTTATTTGTCGGGTGACTCTGGCCGATGCCTCAAGTAGTTTTCATCCTTCAAATAGCTCCCCCAGCATCTCCTCCAAAACCTCGGGACTGTTGCTTCCATGGCTAACCTGTTCAGCTAGCTCTGGATGCTCCTTCAGGTAGTCACGGTAACGTGAAATAACCCTCTCGATGATAGCTCTTCGTAGCGCATCTCTGAGCTGCGGGTCCGGAACCTTCCAGAACTTCTGAGTCTGGTACATTTTATGAAATGCTGACTTGAATTTAGCTAGCGGAGAAGTGTGGACCCAACGACGTAGAAGTCCAGGGGAATTCCAGTTCTGTATGTAGGACAACACATGTGCCCAAGAAAAATGAAGATAGAAATCTTTGTACTTCTCGCATTCTGTTGTAAGTTCAATTCCCAGAAGCTGCGCAACAAAATTGGAGTTGTTGAGCAAGAACATAGACCTGAGGCTTGGATCGGAGGACATTCTTGAATCACTCAGAAGCTGATCCTTCAGATAATCTATTGTTTCATCTATCGCGTCACGAAGCTTCGCGGTGCTTTGGCTTTGTGCAGAGTTGAACGTCAAAGCACATGCTTTCCTCATTGATAGTATGCAATCCACCAAGAACCGAATCTTTCTGTGAATTCCGCCTCCACTTTGTTCAATTTCAATATCCCACGTGCACGAGATTTCATAATAATCTGTCCTGATGTGCATTATGGATCTATGGTGCTGGATATTTCCTGAACTAACCTGTTCTCTTCTGTCTTCAACGAGGAGCTTATCTCATCGAAAATGCGTTGGGCTTTCAAAGAGACTTCATGTGCATTATGGATCTATGCGTTGGGCTTGGCACCTGCCGCACCACGCTCATCGAACGTCAAGCACCGGCCACCACGTCACCCGCATGGCCATGGCAACGGGCCCACACCTGAGCCGCAAGCTGTGCCCACGAGCCCCGTGGCTCCCACCAACAGGGCCGCCGTCCCGGCATCCGAGACCACTCCGCCTCTGCCAGCACGGCACATGGACACCGCTGACCGGTAAAGGGCAAAAGGAGGCTTCTTTTGCCCCAAACCACTCCCGTTAGGCCTCATTTGGGGGATCGCCGCTGTTTCCCTGGGCGTGGAAACCATGATTGAATTGTGACCCGGTTTTTCTGGAGGGCGATTTGGTGCCATCGGGCAAGGAATTTTTCATCCCCGATCCACTTGCTTTCCCTGGGCAGGAAATCACGGCCACTTGACCTCGGGAGAATTCACCTCGTCCCCGCTGCATCGGCTGCTCCACCTCGTCCCTGCTCGCCTGCCTCCTTTCTGCACCAAACGACAACAGAAATTTCCGCCGTGTGTTGGAAGGGATCCCACTTGCCATGGGAATTTCCTCCGATGGGGCTTTGCTACCCTGGGTATGGTGCCTATGCAACCAAACGAGCCCTTAGTAGGAAGGATAGCCTAGCCGTCCATACTCCATCAGGGGAAGGTTAGGCAACCGCAAGCCCCGTCACAGCCACCACACCGCACCCTCTGCTTTGCTCTGCTCGTTCTGGATTTGTTCAACTTGGGCCTTCTTTGCTGTTGCATGGTCTTTGAGCTGCTGCAACTTCTTCAGTGCAAATCTTGTTACAGCGGCTGGCCCTGCCGAACAAGCCGTCGACACGGACGACCCCCTGGCTCCCACTTAGGCTGACAGCTGGATCGTGAGGCTCGAGCAGTCCTTCAACATCTTCCTCACAGTGAGTGACCCATACCGGCAGCTGCTCCAGATTCCCCATACATATTTTGACTCTGAATTTATTTTTTGCCTGTCCGAAGTTCTGAACATGTGGCCGTTTTACCACTTGTTTTACTTCATACTCGAAATGGTCGCTAGGACACATATTTCGATGAGGCTCTCGTCTTACATGCTTGTAAGGTCTCTGAATTTTGGTATAGTTGGTATACCAGTTCAGTACCTGTTTTCTTGACTGATTGATTGTTGATCTGTGTTTATATCGGTGCTTCACCTGATGAGACAAACCTTCGGCTGGTGGAGAAGAGCTGGTTATGCCAAAGTGCACTTTGTTGAAAACACAAATGATTTCCATCACCTCTTGATCACGGAAGTACGTTGAAACTCCTTGTATATCTGTCCATCCATTATTCTGTCAAAACGGACTCTGTTTAACTGCTACATATCATGTTTTACTGAACTAGATGAAAGTAAGTGCGTAGAGAATGTTGTGCAAACTTGAAACTAAGCATGTCAGTTCTCTATGAGTGTTTTCTATTTGAGGAAGTCTATGGACGAAATTGACATGGAACGATGGAAGCAGAATACAAAAGTATCCGTCATTCAATCAGGACATTAAAAAAAATCACACACAGATAACGTGACCAGTTGATGTAGTATCCAACGCTTAAGCAACCAACGGAATTCAGTATACAACTTCACATCAAAAGGAAAGAAATAGTTCCAAATACAATGATGAAACATAACTCCGGTCTCTTATCTGTCGGGTGACTCTGTTTGATGCCTCTAGGAAGTTTCATCCTTCAAATAGCTCTCCCAACATCTTCTTGAAAACCTCAGGACTGCTGCTTCCGCGGCCAATGTGTTTCTCTAGCTCTGGATGCTCTTCCAGGAAGTCGCGGTAACCTGGAATGACTCTCTCCGCAATAGCTCTCCGCAGCAGATCTCTGAGCCGAGGGTCCCGGACCTTCCAGAACTTCTGAGCCTGGTAAGTTTTTCGAAAAGCCGATTCAAATTTGGTTAGGGAAGAGGTGTTGATCCAACAATGGATGGGTCCAGGAAATCTCGATTTGGGTATGCAGGATAGGACATGTCCCCAAGAAACATCAAGATAGCTATCCATGAACTTCTTACATTCAGGTGTAAGGTTAAGTTCAGACCATTGCTCAAGATAAAGCGATACCGATGGCTCAGAAACCTGTGCTACGAAATGGGAATTGTTGAGCAGGAAAATGTACCTCAGGCTTGGATCCGAGCATAGCTCTGATTTTCTCAGAAGCAGATCCTCCAGATACTCGATCGTGTCATCTATCAGGTCACCAAGGTTTACGGTGTTGTTGCTCGGTGCACAGTTCTGCGTCGATGCACATGCTTCCCTCATGGATGTGATGTAATCTACCATCAACCGAGTGTTTCTGTGAACCCCACCTCCTCCTCGAAGAATCTCAATAGCCCATGTGTCGTCCTCCTCCATGGGTGTCCTCACCTCCTCCATCATGCTCGATAGGACCTCATATAGCCTGTCTCCTTGTCTCTCCAACGAGCCGCCTATCTCGCTGAATATGCTTTGGGCTTCCGGAGAGATCACGACCGGCGTAAACATGTATGATGCATTGGAGACACAAGTAAACATGTCTAGCACGGCCCGTAAATTCTCCACCCTAAGAACAGGGGCAATAACATCGACGAAAATGAGCATCTTGGCAATGCTCGCTTTGACAAACCGTGCGACCGCCGGCATCTGGTGAGCGGTGATGACCATCGCTTGGACACTGAAGGCAGTTACGGTAAGAGCTCGAATCCATCTCTCGACCAAGTCTTGGAGCCATGACGCTGGCCGGAGCCATGCCGACGACTTGTCCTGGAGCTGAAGCTGCTGAAATAAGCCATGCTCGCTATGGATTTGAAGAACCCAGTCCACGTCAAGCTCGAAGAACCAATCCTCCAGAGCACGGTCCGGGCCACCGAATCCAAATGCTGGTGCGGGAGATGCGACATGGAACGCTTGGATAATACACTGGGTGTAACCGTCGCTTACCATTTGGCGAGCGACCATGGCGAGCTCGTGGCCGTGGGCGCCGAAACCCGTTGCGACGGCGGACGGCGAATGGGAGGGGCTGCCAGAGTTGTTATAGGAAACGGAATCACCGGAATCGCCGGAGCAGCTGGATCCGCTTTGACCGGACTGAGAGTGGGAGGAGAGAGTGGATGTGGATCTTATCTGTGCTCCGGTCACGGCGACGGTCCGGATCCGGTCGCGGTAGAGGCCGCGCGGCGGGCAGGCAGCCATGGAGCCGTTGGTTCTCAACTCCGGCACGGCAACACGCCACCCCGCAATGGATGGACGCCCTTGGTCGAGCTCGGTGAGATTGGCAGGCAGGGGAGTGAGAATGAGAAGTGTGGCACGGCAACGGCAGCACCCGGGTCAACGTCAACCACACGATACGAGCAGCTGAGGTCATAATGGGTAACTTAGATAGTACTCCCTCCGTTTGTATTTAGTTTGCATATTAGCTTTGATCAAAGTCAAACTTTACAAACTTTGACCAAGTTTATTTAAAAAATATTAAGATATACAATAAGAAATCAACAACATTAGATTTATTATTAAATGTATTTTCATATCATATAGATTCATTATGATAAATGTTTTATATTGTTTTTTATAAACTTGGTCAAACTTTACGAAGTTTGACTTCAGTCAACTCTAATATGCAGAGTAAATAAAAACGAAGGGAATACCTTAACACATCCCAAGACAATTTTACTTATGTGGCAAGTATTTAATGAGGAAAGAGGTGCACTATGGAGGTAGTAACTTAGACTAGTGTCATATGCATGACATCTTCTATATCTAAATAGCTAGCCCGCACTAACATATTTCTTCAACATGCAAATATGCCACATCATCAAGCAACATGCATGGCAAAAGGCCCACCACAACATGCATTCATGCACATGAAAATGTCCACCTCAACATGCAAACATATATTAGATATTTTACAATACATTAATCAAACACAATAAAGCATATGGATTTGCAATTTTAGTTTTCGTAGTATCACTATTCACGTTCCATAGAAATCACATATCATCGAAATGTATTGCAAATATTTCCGCAACAACGTGCGGGGTATCATCTAGTTAGTATAAGTTACTCCCACTATGACCAGCCTAAACGCTCCACTAGGACAGTTGTCCTGTTGAATAAGTGAGCAAATTTTATTGATTTCAATCCACAAAAGTGTTGATAAAATATAACCGTCGTAAATGATACTGAAATCAAGCAACCTCAATGTTTACGCCAAATCGTCTGCAAATGCCTTATTAATCATGTTGTCCGGACACTTTACGTCATCTAACATCATACATCAAACTTTCACAACACGGTCTAGACGTCTGAAATCACACAAACTAGAAGCAAAACTAGAAAGGTTTGCAGGCGTCAGACCTCCGACACCGTCGTCTCCCACAAACCTCCTCTCTCTCTCTCTCTCTCTCTCTCTCTCTCTCTCTCTCTCTCTCTCTCGTTTCACTTCAACTAACACTTCACTCTTCGAGCCGCATTCATGTCTACTCATTTTTTTGCAGCACTCATGGTTTACTTCCACTCGATAAGTTATGCAACTTGTGCCTGATACCTTATACTACGTCAACCTGATAACTTCTAGGGTGTCAGCATGGTAACACTAGATTTTGTTACCCTCTTTAACTAATTTTGTTTTTTAGTAATGGTAACTTCAATTGTTTCTACTTGGCAATTCATATTAATTTAGCTTGATAAATTACATATTGTCAGCATGTTTAACTCTCTAACCGCTTTCAACACTTATAAGTTTACTTCAACCAGATGACATATGCAACTTGAGTGTGATAACATGTAATATGGTAGTCTGTTAACTTGTCATGTGTTGCAATATTTAACTTGAACTGCTATCGACGCTCATGGTTTACTCCATCTTAATGATTTGTGCAGCTTGAGCCTAATAACTTATAATATATTTACTTGATAACTTTAAGTATAAACCAAAGGGTTTTAGTCCGTAGAACAACAATCACAACATACAATCATACCATAGGCTAGCTCCTAGGGTTTAGCCTCTCTGATCTCGTGTGGTAGATCTACTCTTGTACTACTCATATCATCAATATTAATCGAGCAGGACATAGGGTTTTACATCCATCAAGAGGGCCCGAACCTGGGTAAAACATCGTATCCTGCCTCCTGTTACCATCCAGCCTAGACGCACAGTTCGGGACCCCCTACCCGAGATCCGCCGGTTTTGACACCGACACTTGGGTTGGGCTTGGCACCCCTTGCGACGAGGCTGGTAGGGACCTTTTTGCCGCGTGTACGACGGTGAAAATTGGAGATGGCTCCAAAGCTCTCTTCTAGAAGTCCCCTTGGCTTGATGGGTTGAGGCCAATGGATATTGCTCCCAGAATATTTGATATCACCAAAAGGAAAGACTACTTTGTACTAAAGGCCCTAAATGAAGACTTTTGGGTCACCCAGACCAACTTAACAGAAGGCATCTCTGTCGTGCATATTCAGGAGTTTGCCACTCTGTGGGAGAAGCTGGAGGGGGTTATTCTTGATCACGACACGCAAGATACGATCACTTGGAAGTTCACGGACAACGGTACCTACTCCACTTCCTCAGCCTATAAGATGCAATTCGAGGGGCATACCACCACGCCTCTGCTTAACACCATTTTGGAAGGTGTGGGCCACTCCTAAATGCAAGTTCTTTGCTTGGTTAGTCATCCACAACAGAGTTTGGACGGCTGATAGGCTACAACGGAGGGGGTGGCCAAATTGCGGCTTGTGCCCGCTCTGCAACCAGGTCCAGGAATCGGTGACCCATCTTCTGTTCCAGTGCCACTTTTCGATCGCCGTCTGGAACACGGTTAAGGCGAGGATTGGGCTGGTTGACCTGTCGACGCATGATTGGGCAACTCTGAACAATGTCAACGACAGGTGGATTAAGCTTTCCCTTGCACGTTCGCCATCTCGGAAGGGAATGGCCTCGCTCCTTATGTTGGTCTCCTGAGAGGAACGCTAGGGTTTTTAGAAATACTTCTACGCCTTCGATCATTATCGTGGACAAGATCCTTGATGAGGCAAGCCTATGGGTTTCTGCGGGAGCCAAGGGTTTAGATGTGATTCTGCCTCGTGAGTAGTTTTTCTTTTTCGCCACTATGTGGCTGTATTCGGACCCTGTCTCCTCTTCTACTTAATCAATGAAAGGGCAAGTCTTTTGCCTGTTTAAAAAAAAATCATTATAGTTGCCTGATTATAGATTTTTGCTCCATGAACCTGATCATATATTTTGTACGCACTTATTTTTGTTTCACTTTTTCCTTCCTTTTATATGTAGATATTAGGCAGACTTTCATGCTTGTGAATCTTACATAGTTATGTGATGAGCCCCGCCGCGGCACACATCCCAACGTATAAAATGCAATATGGACCTTTCGCAAGTCGTATCCACTTTCGTATGACCGCCGGAACGTATACGCTGTACACACCCCCTCTGAAATGGGTTGGGCCAATTTCCTTCAAATATTGAACACGTTAAGACTCGAACTCAGGACTAGGCTCACAGTTCATAACCGGACGCGTTAACCGATACCTAACCTGCTATATCTAACTTCTTCTTTTTTCATCTTTCGTAGTGTGTCAAATATAACACTACAAAGAAAGAATCTGGTTTATATTTTCTATCAGGGTGTTTTTTCCGGTTTTTACTTCGATTTTTATTTTATTTTATTCTTTTTTCTTGATTTTTGAAATGCATAACTTTTTCAACATTTCGAATCTAATTTCGTGAACTTTTCTCAAATTTGTGAGTCCGTTTCAAATATCACAACCTTTTTCCAAATCCGTGAGTTTTTTTAATTTTTGCTAACACTCTAGTGAACTTTTTTTCATTTACTTCCAAGTCCGTGTCAAATTTTTCATTTTTGTATCTCGGGCAATGTTTTAAAGAAATTGTGACAACATATATTGGTGTTGTGTCAATGCATAAAAAAGAATTCCGGATTTTTTGAAACATTTTTGAATGTGTAAGGGATTTGACACACCGGTAGCACAATTATCGTGGTGCACTAGATACGTTCCCCGCGGTGGGAGGCCACCTCCTACATCTCACCTATTTATTGACATAGCTTGCCTCGCAGGAACTATTTCTCGCCTATAGCAAGAGGGAATGAGCTTGCTATGAGCCGCCCTACTACTTGTGAATTGTGTTGGGATTTCCTTGAAGAGGAGGGGATGATGCAGTACAGTAGAGAAAAGTGTTTTCCTCAGTTAAGAACCAAGGTTATCAATCTAGTAGGAGAACCAAGCAACACCTCGTTTGCAGCACCTGCACACAAACAATAAATTCTTACAACCCAACACAAACAAGGGGTTGTCAATCCCTTCACAGTTACGAGCAAGATTAAACCGTATGATATTTGATAGATAGATTGGACAAAAATACAACATAAATAAAGAAAAATTGTAGCAAGGTATTTGTAGGATTTTTATATGATAAAAGATAGACCCGGGGGCCACAGTTTTTCAGTAGAGGCTTCTCTCGAGAAAATAGCATACTGTGGGTAGACAAATTACTGTTTAAAAATTGATAAAAAGGCAAATAATTATGACTATATCCAAGGCATTGATTCATGTATGTAGGCATCACATCCAAGACAAGTAGATCGAAACGATTCTGCATCTACTACTATTACTCCCCTCATTGACCGCTATCCAGCATGCATCTAGAGTACTAAATTCATACAGAACAGAGTAACGCTTTAACCAAGATGACATGATGTAGACAAGATAAACTCACGTATGAATAAACCCCATCCTTTTACCCTTAATAGCAACGATACATACGTGTCATGTCCCTTTCTGTCACTGGGATTGAGCACCGCAAGATCGAACCCATCACAAAGCACATCTTTCCATTGCAAGATAGATCAATCTAGTTGGCCAAACCAAACCAATAGATCGGAGAAGAAACATGAAGCTATAACAATCATGCTAAAAAGAGTTCAGAGAAAACTCAAATAATATTCATGGATAGATCTGATCATAAACTCACAATTCATCAGATCCCAATCACTAGTAGAAAACCGGGCAATAGCACCGGTTCGTAAGGGCCTTTAGTGCCGGTTATGGAACCGGCACTATTATTTCGGCACTAAAGGCCCCCTCCCCCCTTTAGTACCGGTTCAGCACGAACCGGTGCTAAAGTGCCACCACGTGGCGTGAGCTCGCGCCCTGGTACGGGGGAC